TTTTTTTTTTTTTTTCTTTTACACACCGGCTCACAACCATCCTCCCAGTCAGTCACCTCAAGTGCGACCGACCGTCCGGAGCGGAGCACACACAAGCGAACGGATCCAGAGCAGCAGCAGTAGCAGCCAGAGCGCACCGTGCTGTGCCTTGTTTTGTTTTTTTTTTTGTTTCTTTTTTTTGTTTTCTGGGAAGGAGCTCAGCGGAAAAAAGAAGAAGGCACAGAAGGGGAGAGAATGGGACGCCGGTGCCTTGATCAGGACTGAGTTTGGTCGGCACACTGAGAGCTCCACTGACTCGTCTCCAAGTCCCCCCCTTTTCTCTCGGAGTCACCGCGTTTTCGCCGCTGACACAATGGGCTGCTGCAGCGGACGATGCACTCTGATTTTCATTTGCACTTTACAGCTGGTGAGTTCAGCCACACTTCTGTTACCTTACTTTCACAAGTTGCGACAAAGCAGCTTTAGTGCCATGCATGTGGAATGGAATTACAATGAAATGGGCTGTCCCCTCCTGTTGGAGTGTCACATGTTGATATAGGAGGTTTAAAAGAAATGTCCACATCCTTGAAGTTTATTTAACTCACTATGAGTGTTTTCCTCTTACACCCTGCTCGCTTGTGTTAATATTTGTTGAGATTCTGTTTGAATAATCCTGGATTTAGATGTGGTGTTTTCCTAAGTGAGTAGCAGTGTTGTTTTAAATCCCACTACTGACAGTAAACATATGGTGGTGTGGATCTGAAGAACTCTTCCTGGCCTCAAATAACTGCTCAGTGACAGACAGCAACTCCTGGAGTAACTAACTGTAGGTGTTGGAAGTGAAAGTGCAAATGTATGGATTTACTCTAAATATTCTACCAGCTGAAATCAAGCTTTGTGAGAGGCATGTGTTCACAGCCCTCCTCTGAGGTTCAAATTGGTATCCAGACTTGCTGCTGCCTCTTGATGAAAGACAGCTCAGACGTCTGCTGGCGCATTAATTTGTTCTCTGATCTCGAGATTTCAAGAAATTCGTTAATCAAGAGCTGAAATCAACTGTGTCTCGGGATGCGTTGATCCGTAAACAAACCTTGAGATTTCATAGCTTGTTGGAGCGATTCACTTTCTGATCAGTGAAGTGTGGGGGGCTGTGACATTTTTGCTGATGGAAACTGTGCAGATGATGCTTCCCATCGACTAGCGGGCCAGCTTGCCTTTGCCACTATCACAGAGCAGAGTTGACTTGACAGGCTGTGGCAGTGTTATTTATGATGGTATTAAAAACAGAGCTGGCCCGCGCCATAAGTCCCCAAGTAAATGCCACTATTAACAACAAAGGGGGTGATAAAATTGGCTCCGGACAAAGAGCCAAATGGGGAAGTTCTTATATATTGTATCAAGCATTTGGTCATTCAAATAGAAGTTTTAAAGGAAGGCATTTGGTTGGCATCAGTCATAGTTGTGTTAAAAAAGAAAACAAAGTTTCATACCACCATGTAACAAAACTCGGCTCTCCCATCTTGCAAAGTTGTTTTACCCCAAGCCAACATTTTCATACCACTCTACAAATTCCTACCTGCTGTTTTGTGTCAAGTTTATACACATCAGAAAATAACAATCTGGTAATCTAGATGGGAAATGAACCGCCGCCTGAGCTGGAGCGCTTTTTCTGAGAAATAAGATTAAACAAGCATTTGTTTCAGGTGTTCCTTGCTGTCATTTGAATGACTTTCTGCTGCCTCCTGCCTTCGTATCCTGCTGTTTTTTTCCTCCCCACTTCATCTCTAGAATTAATAGAGAGCTGGTGTGTATTTGTGTGTCGCACCTGTTTATCCTCCATGTTTCAGCCCCCGTAAATGCATCCAATAGTGAAAGCACTGGGAATGGACATCAGGTAGATAGCTTGCTCGTATGTGAATGGATTAGGTCACAGCGGTCTCAGTGTCGCTCCCTTGTTAAAGCTTCGACTCACACAAACACTCGTATGCACAAATACGGAGGGCTGTGAACCCACCTTGAGCTACACACCTGTTTCTCCGCCGCAGACTTTGGACCTTTTTGCCTCATTAGAGGGAAGGAGGTCGCCCATTTGTTACGAGGTTTATAAAGCTGTCAGCCGGCTGCCTAAAAAGTCCCTGAAGACTTCTGGAAACAGCTTTATTTTCCCCTGGTACTGTTTCTGTATGACCTGACACTTCCTGTCTGGAGAAACACTCACACACACACACACACACACACACACACACACTCAAACACACACATGTGCACACTGATGAATTTAACCTGCAAAATAGGGGTTGCATTAAACCCTTGCACGACCTTTCAAAAGGTCACCAGGTTGAGTGTGTGTGTAGATATATGCGTGCATGCTCGCATGAATATACATGTGCACATGAGCGTAGAGAAGCACAAGGGACCCCCGCTCTCCCCTGGCTGAAACCTATGCATAGACAATGAGCCAGGTTATTCCCAGTCCATTACAGGGTAAAACTGCCATTAACAAAACAACATACTCTGCTCCTCAGATGTAAAAATAGCCCTTGTGAACCGCTGTGTGTGCTAATTAGCCAGGCAGAGTGCTTTGATCAAACCTCTTTTGGCATCTCGGCCATCCCCTAATTGAATTGTGGTGCGCTTTCCTCATCAACAGGCCCGAGCGTTGGGACTCATCTCTCTGGGACAGAAGGCAACAGATAATGAGCCTGTATTGATCGAAACGTCTCTGTTCTCTCCTCCCTCTGCAGCCTAACTATTCCAGACAGTAGGGCTGGATGGTTGTCAGAACCCCGATCAGCCCCAGAGAATAGCTCGCGTTGGCAGGAAGCCCTGTCTGTGTAATGATTTGTTTGTACTCTGAGACACAGGCAAGCTCATTTTTGTCTCAATGGGTTGGTTGTTTGAGGTGTTGACCTGAAGTTGACCTGGCGTTGAAGCATTTCCATTGGACAAATGCGGGACCTGGTCTAGACATATTGTGAATGTCAGAGGCTGGCCATGACGAGGACGTTGGCCTTAATAGAGCTGATGGTTATTGTGGCTCGGCGGACGGTGGCTGATAGATGAAGGAGGCCTCTTCAGTGGTCATGGTGGATTCTCAAGAAAGGACAGAGAGGCAGACACCCACACCCAGACACACATAATCACACTGAACAAGGCTAATGAGCTCACAACTGAACATTGACCCTGAAAATGCCAGGCCATAACTGTGCTGGCCTCACTGACAGATTCAGTCTCGCAGACACAGGCACTATTTCATGCACCCCTCCCCATCTCACACAACCACAGTTACAGATGCGCACTCTGACCTGCGAGTTATAGGTCAGTAGGTCTAGTGTGGGGTAAAGAGTACAACCTTTGTACAAACTGCATATTCTGCATTTATGCAACAAAAAAACAGCACCTGATTTAAATTTGTCCACCATCCTGCTTTAGAAGTAGTCGCTTTGTGCAGTGACGCACCGCTCCCAGTGCTCCTGCCACGCTTGGACCCCCCCAGTGTGTCAACGTGTCAAACGCCATCTGCGATATTCACACGAGGGCTGAACAGTGAATCAATTTCCAATTGAAACTGCAATTTAGAACAATGCAATTAGCAAATTGCAAAGTCTGCAGTTTAACAAGGCGTGGCTATTAAATAATGAGGCTAGTGTTGTAATTCAACTTCATCTAATTTGAGCAGATTGAAAGACTGAGGGATTGTTTATGCTTGCACATTGATCAATGCATACTAAATAGTTTGGCCATGCACGCTGCGGGGGACAACAGCGTCATTATTTATTAGCCACACCTTGCATATTTTACAGCACGCCTGACCCTCAGTTTAGACTGTTGTGTCAATCATTTTGCAAATTCATGCTGCCCTCTTTGTATGACAGTCACGCTTTTGATGGTGTCTCATGTCGCAATGCTGCATCACATGCTTTATATGTATTACTCGAGGAACATTGGACTCAAGTGTAATTGTGTAAAATTATATCACAAATCAAGTGACTATATCTGCTAGGAAAAGGTCAATTAGATATTTTCCCCTAATCGCTCAGCCCTACCTTGAATCTTTTCCACTGTGTCGAAACTCTTCAACCTGAATTTTGTTTTAGATAACATATTGTGAGTAGGATGTGTGGGGAGCATCATAACCATGTAACATGGGGTCCCTATGGTGATTTCTTTTTCCTTTTGAAAGGTCACATGGATTCCTGACTTTTGACCGCCGTGCTTAATGTGTGTGCTATGGGGACAGTCTCAGAGCTTTTTGATCACACCTCATATAAGGTGAGGAGGTGCTGCTTTGTTTGCCTGTGACAAAATGACAGAAAGGTGGGGAGGAGCTGGAAGGGTTTTTATTTTATCACCGGCGAGGAAAATAAAGAGGTGTCCATATTGTCACAGTGACTGACATGATTTGTGCCTATGTAGGACAAAGTGCTTTTAGTGCGGTGAGCCGGAGTACAGAGGCAAGGGATATCTGCACGTTTTTTTTTTTTCCTTTTTTTTTTTCTTAACCGCATTTTCACCCTTTATAAACTAACAGTCAGACTATCCACAAGCACTGTGTGTGTGTGTGTGTGCATGTGTGTAAAATCTTGCATCACACTGCCCACTTTTTCTCGACTCTTTTGATGACATAGCTAGAGAATATACAAACTTTGTAGTGAAGGCTTCAGAGGAGAAGAAGACCGGGTTCAACCAAAGTGCTTCCAAGAAAGTTTTAACAGAAAAAGCAGAGCGCCTCATCCTGAAGAGTGTTATCTCTAAAGGCGCGACATCGTCCCTTGGCAGCCATCACGTCATCTCCTACATACTACAAAGGATTGAGGCTGCCCCCCTCCACCCCCCACTTTCTCCTGCTAAGTCATTTGCTTTATGGAGGCACTAACAATCACATTTCCGTTTGAATATTCATAAGCTGGTGGATGTCTATCAACACACCGTTTCTCTCTACTCACCAAAAATGCAAGGTCTTGGCCCTTAGCTTTGATATTAATGCATCGCACTGCTGTAATTAAGAATAATTACTGCAGCTGGAGCAAATTGCATGGCAATAAAACACTGTTCTGTGGGTAGGATATGAGGGTTACTGCTACTGTATAATCCCCTTGTACCTTGCCAGTTCCCAGGAGAGGTGATTTATCAAAACCTGGTAACTAGAGAAATGTGAAAGCTGTTCTTGGCAAGAGCAAGGATGTTTCAATTTTGCCAGTTACAGATGTTTCAGACATCTGTTTTAGGGGCTAACTTGTTTTGGTGGGTGCTTTGCCGAGTGCATATGTGTGTAACTTCTTTAGAGCGCCCGTGTGAACCTGGAGTCTAGTGTGATCAATGATAATGAACTGTATTTCCTTGGCACTGCCAGGTTGATGGAGGAGAAAGGCCAGCGGGAGTAGAGCGGATGGTCGCAGCTCTTTTATCTCTCTGTTTCGTTCTCTT